TTTTTTTTTTTTTAACTTAAACAGTTTATTTATGAATAGTGATATCATAAAATGCCCATTACAAACATTTCAAAATGTTACATTTTTCGCCTTCCTGAAATTTCAAAACTCTAAGATGAAATCTAACAGGATTAGATCAATTATAAGTCAAACATAAAAATGAAGAACAAATGTAAAAAAACTGCACTTTTTAGTCGAGTGGACAAAAATTGTACCACAAGCAGCGAGTTGTCGTCAGTGATCGTGGCGTTATCTTAATGACCTATTATAGCGGCATTTTCAATTCTCCGAAAAATAGAAATATTTATTTATATGCCACAGTAAAACATTATTTGATTTTGCAAACATCAATTCTGTCTATCGATTATATCGAGATGTATAAAAATTTCCTTACTGATCTAATAAAATTACGGCAAATCCGTGTTTTTTAGTGAAGGTACTTGGCATGCTCAGATTTCGATAAATTTCTTTTATTTGAAAGCTCTACCTGGACACCGTAGAAATTATTCGCGTAAGCTATTGCGGATTTGCGGTGAGCTTTTGAAGTCACNTAAGCTATCGCGGTTTTGCGGTGAGCTTTTGAAGTCACAACGTCTTTAATGAAAACGCTTACAGTCGCTAATGAATTACGATTTAATATTAGTTCTTATTGGACCAATATTTTTGTATAATACATCAAAATATTCCAAATTAGACCTAGTTAAAAATATAACGCACAAATATTCAAAAAGCTACCTACAAGATTTTTATTTAATTTTTTTTAAGTATAAATATCTCAAAATAAATCGAGAATTATAAGTAACTAAACCCTAGAACAGTGGGATGGCATAGTTGGGTCCAGTTTATTTAATATCTGACAGTGATTAAAATCACTATCATAAAAAAAATTTGGATGCAAATCTGCAGACAGTGTTTAATATTAAAAAATTAATTGATTATTCTAAAAGCTACATGATCTCCTATTTTATTATTTACATTCTGATTACAAGTTTTATGATTTATAATAAATAATATATTAATAAATAAATAAATATGTATATGTATATCTCTCTCTTCTAAAGATCTTGCCTTGTCGTTTTACCAATGGTATATCCTGGGGAAATTAAGTGCAGTGGTTTCCCGTTGCCTTCTGCACTGTCAACAAGGTGCTTTTTAGCCACTGTAGAAGCGCACGCATGGTCACCCATCCGTTTACCTACAGCGGTAGGCGCGACTTAACACTAGACTTTTGTCAACAACTATAGAACTATATAATTATATATAATAATCCATACATTTTTCAAAAAGTTATAGTATTATAAAGTTAAAAATATAAAAAAGAATTTTTTTACAAAATTTGTATTTTTTTTTATTATTTTTGATGTCTGTTTTCACCATGAAGACAAAATAAAATCCAAAATTTTTTTTCATGATAAAGTATATTACATTAGTTATAATTTAAGATATATATAAAAGTGTCAGACTTTTTGGAACACTTTCAAAAGTGAGATTGAAAAAAATAATTTTTTGAGAAAACGTTGTCATTTTGAATCCTCCCTGTGCCAATTAAAGGGTTACATTTATAAAATCATTATATCAAATGATAAAGTTATTGTGCATTTATAAAAAAAAAATTGTATTGATTTAATCATTTTGAACAAAGTTGTGACAGTTTTAAGGAAAATAAATTGAAAAAAGTTGAAAATTAGCGATTTTTAAATTTATAATTTTTTTGAAGATTTCCTTCATTTACGGAGAAAGAGGGAAATTTTTCAACTTTTGAGGGTAATGTCTTCAATTAGATATGATTTGTGATCTTTGACGTATTGTTGAAAGAAATCGGTTCGGTGAGAGCTGATTGCTAATAATAGCAATTATACTATTATAACAAACGATAACGACGAGCATACACGTAGTTAATTCTAAAAATACGAATATTTTACCGTATAGACGACGCTACGGGTCGTCCAAAACCCATACATAAGATTGCAGCTTAACGGTATTCACACGCACACGATTTGGAACTACGCTTATAATATACGTTTTTGCATATTGCTCGTGTGTACATGCGTGTCCGTATATAATGAAGGAAAACAACTTCAATGTTCGCACACGACAATAACTATTTTACTATTCAAAAATTTGCATTTTTAATAAAAATGTAGAATGCTGAATCTACAATAAATTTTCTCGTTTTAATTAATTTTAGAAGGGGGTGTGATCGTCCCGTCGTCCGAGCCACCACTAATAGTTAGATATCTATACTCAATGACATTATGTTACTAATGAAACGCTAATCAATGTTACTAAACGGTATGCGACGTAAGACAGTCAAACTATGAATGATGCACCAATTCCAAACGATAAATGCACAAGGCGGTTATTTTGAAATGACGGAAGGCGTGGCGTCACAGATACGGAAAACAACGTTGAATACGTTTTACGTTTTGAGTGGCGTCCTCTTAATATAATTCGGAAGGAGGTGCGCACAATGGACATACAGGTCTGAGTGCATAGATAGTTCTTCCTCACCTTTCTAACAACTAAAACTACATAGATTTTTTTGGTGCTCTAAGTACCTTATATATCAACTACGTGTATAATTTGTATAAATTACCATTATTTTCTTTGATTTTATTTCGGCATACTGGACATATACTATGATTTTGTAACCATGGGTCAATACATATTTTACAAAATGTGTGATTACACACTGTCTCATAAGTATCTTCTTTCAACGTGTTCTTACAAATAGGACAAACTACAAAATATATGTAGCAACGAAATAAAAGGTAAAATAATACAATAATAATATTAAATATTTAAAAAAATTATAAACGTAAAAAGTCGTTCTGTTTTTTTTTATATCGTATATTATGTCATTGTATTAAAACTTGGTTTAAATTTTCATTGTGTATTCATTTGTCAAAGTCGCTGAAACATTGTATCTACTAACATTTTATACTGATTTTATGTATTATTGGATTTAAATTTATAAATTTTTAAAAAGTATTTAATTAATTGAAATAAAGAAAAAATCAACGAAAAAAAATTGAATAGAAATCGTTCTATAATCAAATGTATTTATAATTGACGAACATTTAATCATATTTAAATCTTTTAATTAAAAAAAAAATAGTGATGATAAATAACTTTAGTTACCAGTCCCAAAAACTCTTAAAATTTCATCCTAAAAATAGCGATTAAATGGTAAGGAATTAGGGGGATATATCCCCCATTGACACACTTTGATTGACAATTTTGTACAATTTTCATTATATAAAATTTTTTTTTTTTGGAAACATTATGCATGATAATTCAATTTAAAAGAATTTGAACAGAATTTATATAAAAAAATTATTAATCCTACAAATTTAGGAGATTAAATTTTATAAGGATCATTAATTGGAATAAACGATTTTTATTTTTATATTTTATCTTATTCAATTATAAAAATAATAAAAATAAATGTGTAGTAAGCAAGAAACACGAATAAAAATAAATTATATATAATAATTATTATTATCTAATTTTTTTTATAAGAAAATTGTTAATATTATAAATTTTGCGTTGTATAAACTTAATCTAATTAATCTTTTGCTTACTATTTGAAGGATCACCACCATCATCTATAATTAAATATAGTAGATTTGTTTTTTTTATTTTATATTTTATATATTATATATTATTATATTCTTTGATTGAATTTAGAGATAACAGTTCATAAAAAAATATGTATATCTAACAGTTCTTAATATTATCGTTATATGGTAAAACAAATAAGAAATATAGTATATTTTCCATGATAATATTTTAACAAACACATATTTTAATTAATATTTAATATAATAATATTTATTACACATTCTATTTATGTCCACCCATGCCACAATCATTAGAATACTATTGAACCTGTTTAGGGTTCAGTACTATGTAAAGATAAATAATTTATTCCATTCAATTATAAAGTACCTAAAATGAAATAAAATGTACTTAATGTAAAAATTTAACAAAAAAATCTCGTTTAACTTTTAAAAATCTGCTTCAAAAAAAAAAAAATTAATTTGATAATAACACATAAATACATTAAGACCTTATAATTAAAAATTTATTTCACTAATTGCAGTAAATATTTATAAGTCAATTATGATATTACTGACTTAATATAAAATATAACAAAATATGACATTATTTATAATACTAATTATATTAATTTATACCATACCGAGAGGAGAAGCGAGGCCAAAAAATATTTATGTTTATAATATTAAAGAATGAGTCTAGCAGAAATGAAAATACTTAGATGGATGAGTAGAGTGACTAGAGAAGATAGGATAAAAAAAAAATTTACTTTGATAATAACACATGAATACATTAAGACGTTTCAAACATGATATTACTGACTTAACAAAATATGACATTATTTATAACACTAATTATATTACTTAACCAAATAATTTTTAATTATTTATTTTTATTGTATGTTAAAAAATGTTTTAAATTTTAAATAGGAGTGATTAGAAAAAAAAAAAACTTTTTGGATGTGTTTATGTGTAAAAATAATAATAATAATTAATGTTAATTAAATAAGTTAATGACAATAATCTATTATTTTATAAAAAAAACTTTATATTACACAATGTTAATTATATGTATTATGTCGTAATATTAACTTAATTTTATTAATTTTTTTCTTACCATTTGAAGAATCAGCATTATCATCTTCAACTAAACATACAAGAATTGTTGTTTTATTTAATTTCACTTAAAGTTTAAAAATTTAAAAGTACATTGAATTATAAACGGTAACTTATTACAATTTCACACTCTACTAAATTTCCTTTCTATTATTTTATTTTTGTTTATTACACAATATTAATAATTATTTTCAATTGTTTAATAACTAAAACTATTCAAAATTTTACTATTTATAACAGTGGCGGCACTGTTTATAGGGACACTGTTATCACTGTTGTAATTTGTATAATCATATAGATTTAATGTGTAAAATCTATGGTAACGTTTTTAATAATTAATAATTATTTTTATTTTATGTAATTTAAAGAGTATACAGTAATAAGTTTTAAATTATCGATGCTTTATTGTTTATTGTTTATGTGTGTATTTGTTATAAAATTTAGTATTAATAAACCACTTTATTGTAGAATCTATCAACTTATTATTGAACAAAATTACAAATCGATAATTTAAAAGATGTCTGCACAGTTTAAAATAAAACTCCAGAAACAGATGGTTACTGGTCAACTAGTTAATATGGTAAAAACAATTAAATTTTTGGATGATGCAGTAGAATATGCATTTCCCGTAAAGGGGCAACATGAAGATCTACTTAAAGAATTGTTTCAAATCAGTATTGTAAAAAACGCATGTAAGAGTATGGTAAAAGAAGGACAATTTCGTAATATAACGGTTATGTTATCGGAAGAGGTAAGTGCATTGTACACTGATGACCAACGTAATTTTGTATTCAGATCATATTATCTTGACGAATTAGACGAAAAAAAAAGTAATGCAGATAAAAATACATTTGTAGTGGATGATAAAAATGATTTAATGAAATTGTGTATGGATTTAAAAGCTCAATTAGAATTAAGAGAGATATCATTAGCTGATATAGAAAAAAATTTTTTTATAGATAAATTTAACGGTAGGCAGAATGCAAAAGAATGGTTAGACCAATTTGAAAAAGAGTGTGATAGATATAAAGTCATAGAGGAAATCAAGAAGATTCAAAGTTTAAAATTTTTTTTAGAAGAGCGTGCAAAAGAATGGTATAATTCAAATTTAAGAAAATTATTAATAAACAAATGGTCAGATTGGGTAGTGTCCTTTTTACAAGTGTATGCTGATAAAAGTTGGGCAAATGTCAGATTTGCATATAACTTTAAATATTTAAATGGATCATTAATTGACTCTGCTCTAAAAAAGGAACATTTAATACTAGACATTGAGAGTTCTATGTCAAATACATCTAGAATAAATTTGATTGTTATGGGCTTACCGTTAAATGTACAAGATAAACTGGATAAGGAGGAGATAACAAGTACAGATTTATTAATGAATAAAATAAGAATGTATGATTCAGAAAAAAACCAATATAAAAAAGATGATAAGATGAAATCTAATTATAATAATAATAATGTAATTATAAAGGGAAAGAGTAATGTTGACAAGAAGTATAATGTAGCACCAAAAGGATTTTCTGAAAAAAAGCCTTGTTATATGTGTGAGGCTCTAAATAAACCTAATCGTTATCATCCACTTCAACTTTGTCGGAACAAGCTACAATATTTGAAAAAAAGAAATGTTAATGTATCCGAAGTCAATCAAACTGAAATTGATGAACTATTGGATATTGAACTAGAGAACCAAAAAAACTAAATCGCCNTGTTTAAATGTATATTTGTTATACAATTTAGTATTAATAAACCACTGTATTGTAGAATCGATCAACTTATTATTGAACAAAATTACATATTTATTCACATTTTATTGAATGTTAGTATGACTAGCTTATTACCATTATCATCAACTATACCCAATCATAGTATGTTTATTAATTTATTTTATTTATCTTAAAGTATTCAAATTTATGGTTACATAAATTTATTAAATGTATAACCAAAATTGGAATTACTTTTTAACTTGGCTGCTCATTATAAATTCACGTAGTTCTACATTTTATTATATATAATAGTTCTTTGTAACGTCATGATATAGTAACATAAATAAAAAAGCTCTAATACGCAGGGCACAGCTCCCAGAAAGCATAATTTATTAGAAAAATTTTTCAGAACCTTCCATCACAATATCATTTAATATATATTTAATTTAGATATTTTACTAAATTAACTTGTTCTTTAACTAAATTTAATAAATTAACTTAAGCTTTAAAAACCTGTTACAAATAAAATCTTTTAATGAAGTATAAATTTCATAAATTTAAATTATTTTTTTAAATTAAAATAATAATATAAAATATATTATTAATCGGCATTTTTAGGGTGTCATAGTACTGTAATCCAACTTAAATTCTTATTTAACTATTTATATACAAATTTTATACAGTCTTAAAACCGTCTTTACGTCAATTTTGTACTCTTGTAAACTTAGTACATTTCATGTTAAATATGATATATATTTTGATAGTTTCAATGCGATGTCATACAATCATTTATATTTTTAATGAACTTTACCTGTAACAAATTTGTTACAAGGGAAATATTCTCAAAAAAATTCATAATTTCAGTATTACCTTAAAGTGACAAATTAATTTAAGTAATTTAAATCTATTTAGACTTAATTAAGTGACAAGTTAAAACCCCCAAAAAAATAATTGTGTATCAAAATTTTTTTTAAGTTTTTAAATAACAAATCACAATTATAATTAAAATTCATTGTTACAAATCATAAACATTGTTCTGATAAATTTTTAGTTTAAATAAGTTTGGTATCAATTTATTGTTATTTGTTCATAATATAATGCATTTTATCATTTTTTATAGATTTCTTCAATTTACAATGTTCCAACAGAATTTTTATTCTTTTAAAAGCTTTTTTATTTTATTTTTGAATGTATTCGAATAGTAATGATTTGGCATTTATAGACCTATCGTTTATTAATTCCAATAAATGCTGTAGTGTTTTAATGGCCGAAAAAATAAATCATAGTAAGATCAATGTCTTTCAAATATATTAACATCAGAGTAAACTATTACAACTTTTCGTTTTTAAATAAGTAACACTATTTTTTAATTGCTTCTTAAAAAAATTTGAATATTCTAAACATAGTTACAATTTATTAAAAAATACTTTTCTTACTTTTAAATAAGAATTGTTTTTTTACCACTACCAATTCGTAGTTAAATGTGCACTAGTATTTAACTCTGCACTGAATATATGTTAAAGGCGTTAAAAACACAAGAACGGTTAAAAATGAGGTGAGACACTTATTAACTGTAAATGACTCAATTTAAATAATGTTAATTCCATTAACACAAAAATATTAGCATATAAAATGAATACTAGATTATTATAATTACCATTTGTTAAACTTTTAACAATAGCTTTTTTGGCACAATAGCATACTGGAATATAGAAAAAAATCTGTTTTCATAAATTGTTTATTAACTTAATCACTATTAAAACTAAAAATAAGTGTTGCGTATAACAATAAAAAATTTTAATATGTATTATATAATACATAATTTTAATACTTGCACTTAAATCTAAAATTTGTCAATTTTCAAGTTAATATTAATGACATTAAAATACTAAGTATTTGTAAAATAATTAATAGCTTAAATTATTTAAAAAATAATCTTATTTTTTCACACATTTAATCTGAAGATTTTCAATTTGGGGAATTTTTGTTTACAAATATTGTTATAAGTTGACTTTCTACACATCGCGAGGATGTAATGTCATTTACGTTACCAAATTCGAGGATTTTAGAACAATAAGAACAAGAATTTTTTTGAAAGCATCTTAGCATATTGTTATTCGATAACCTTTTTTTTTCTTATTAAATTTTTTTTAGTTAATTTTTTGTACTAAAACATATGTTCTAATTATGCGTAAAAATTATAGTTTGTTTCATTGTCTACTACCATAATTCATAAAAATATACAAACAAAATCAGGTATTGAATTTTTTTAAGAAAAAAATTTATTTTGTTTTATATTCTAAAACCATTGCATACTAAATATTCAACCAGTATGTAACTAAAAGAATTAAAATATTTCTTTTCAATAATTGTATTTATTTTATGAGTTATTAGTGATTTATAATATACTGATTATCCCGTGTATCGTTTAGAGATACTTACCTCCCAAATGAAATAAAATGAACACCATAACAAAAAATGTTGATAAAATATGCAATTTCTAAAACAAATTTTAAATCAATATCAATAAAAATTAAACTTACATTACTCTCTGTTCGCAGAACTAAAAAAAACTAGCATAATTTTTAACATCAAATTAATATAGATACTTAAACTATTTTAGTAGAATTGACAATTTTTGAATAATCTTTCTTAAGAAGTAATTATTTATAAGAGAAGATTTTGACTATTAATTAATTATCTGTAAATTAAATAAGTAATAAGATATTTTAAAAATTGATTCTTACCATTATTGTTTTAAGTGTTGAAAAATTTATAAGGATTTGAAGTAAAATAGTACAGTTATTGCCTAATAAGAAATACTTCTAATAATAAACAAAATAAAAATTGTATACGTGTAAAACATATTTATATAATGAAACACATTATAGTATTTTAATTCATGAAATTTATTTTTAGCGTTCCAAAAATCACATACATTTAATTTTTTTATTTTATGACATGATAAAAACGAACGGTTAATAGTTATTGTAACAATTTTAAATACACCAGTTTTATGATCACGTGATATACCGAAAAAAACATTTTTTAATTTAATAATCAGTTTATAATTATTGTTGAGCTGTTGTGCATATAAATATACTCTTTTGAAGGTTGGACTAAATGATTTTTTTTTTAATTCTTTAGATGTATTTTATATGATTTTAATATATGAAAGGGCCAACTGTAAAAAATGTTTTTATAACGCAATTATAAATTACACTACATGTTTTTTTTTGTGTTTAAAAATTGCAATTGAATTACAATTGAAATATACAGAACATAATTAATTTTAACTTAATTTACTTTAACTGAAAACAAACAAAATGTTGTTAAAAAAATCTACTCTTTATTAATTATAATTGTAAAACTTTTTGTGAAATTAAGGTGAAAATAAAAATCACTTTTTCGGATTTATCATTTATACAGAGTGATTTTTTTATTATAACCCATTCAATTACTTACAAAATAAATAAAATATTTTTTTTATTATATTTATTCTTGAATTATTAACTATTTAATACTTTTTAAGTTCATCACTTATGCCTTGTAAGGGTGTAAACTTTGTTTTTTTATATGGAAACACATATTTTTAATTTAATAGTGTCGTAACACAGATAAAATGGAAGTGGTGGTGAATGTATTGTGTACAAAGATGAAGATGAGGATATGGTGCCCGCTGTCTAGGTATTCACGTGCGTGTTTTCATACAGCAGTCACCGTGCTCGGCTGACACTCCGGGTTAGCTGTGGGTGTCAAAAGGCTGTTGTTATAGGAAGGGAATAAGGGTAACACTGTAATAAACCAAAAAGAAATAAAAAGAAAGAATTAGAAAGGAAAGCGGGAATTTTAAATTAAAGATAAGTTTAATGGTAGGAGGTGGGTTTATGGGGAATGAATGATGGAGGATAAAAATGGTGGTGATATGGATTTTAATATTGAAGGTGTGAATGCTTATATTATACCAAAAGAAAATCTGAGGGTTGATTCTTAGTCAGACTAAAGATATAATATAGCGTATGTATGGCCGAATAATAATAAAAATTATTAAATAAGATAATAAATGGCGGAGTAACACATGTTTAAATGTGGCAAGATATGTAAGGATGCAAAGGATATAATGATACGAATAAAGAAGAATTCAGAGGGATGAATAAACGGAGTTTAAATACATGAGGGTAATGATCAAATAAATAAATATGCACACAAACGTTGTGACAAAAATAATGAACTGATCTCGGGGTTGAACAATATTGAATAAATGAAGTCAATTATCCTACAAAACTTTATTACCTATCTTAATGGTTTATTACGCAATAGAATATTTATAATTTGAAAGCGGAAATTTAAATTTGTACTTACCTTGTATCCCACGTAGTGTAATGCTTATTTTAGACAATCCAATGTTGATTATGAGTTCACACTGTATTTCACACGTTGTACACTTTGAGTTCGACAGTAAATATGACCGTTTGAGAATAAAGCGTTTAATTATAAATAATGCGAAACCGTTACACAAAATCTATGACTGCATTATTATATGCAGGACATTCTATACACTCTATATTATTTTTATAATTATAATCAAATAACGTATTCTTAGTTGACTTTGTAGAATGAGTATAATGTTTGATAGATTATATTTTATTGAGAGATCGACACCAATATTTCTTAAATTTTCCTCTGGCCTGGCCAAAACAAAATTCAGAAATATTTATATCTATGTAAAAGATTTGTCAAGGCGGAATTGTGGTGGCCCAATGTGTCCCGGTGCTAAAATAAAGCACCTTGAAAGGATGCGGCACAATAATCACCAAGACAAAAATTAAACACTAAAAACATATATTTGTAAGTTTCTCTGTGCTGTCTGCCGGCGCGATGTTCGTTAAAACAAAGACATTAAACCACAGAAGATTAGCTACCCAATACACATAGGCTTACAAATATATTCTAACCTAACACACCTAACTTTAAAAATCTTTAATTGCAACCTTTACTCTGTCTGCCGGCGCGATGTTCATTAGAACAAAGACATTAAACCACAAAATATTAGCTACCCAATAAGTACAGAGTTGCAATACACTTAGTCATATAATAAATATTTATCATTAACTGAGAAAATTAGAGTTGATTCGATTTTATTATATATAAAAAAAANGATTCGATTTTATTATATATATATAAAAAAAATGTTTTGTTTTAGAATATTAATTGACATTTATTTCCATGGTAAAATAAAACATTATTATTTAATGAACAAATTAAATTAAAATAAAAGATTCACCAAAACAAAATTCACTTTAAAATCTCTAAGTGTCATTTAGTTTTTAAGAAAAAATATATAAAATATAGTCCAAATAAATTAAAAAATCGACTAAGTCCCAGAGAGTAAGAATCTTGAGTAGAGTGTCGCAGATTTTGTGTATTTTAAAATCGCCGAAAGAACTGATTTTAATAGGAAAAAATGGGTTTTTATAGTAGACGAGGGTCGTGTAGCAATCCCTAGTGTGATCTTAGAAACTATGGATCTTAATTAATAGTTAAATATGATTGGCTGGACCTAATTGAGAACCCACACACGGGCGTTACTTTTAATCTGTACGATAATCAGATTTAATTGACTAATTTATTGATTATTTTAAGTCTTAAATAAGGGAACCCTGTTTTGGTGATCTTGTGAATTCATAATATATGACATATATGTACAAAAGATAACATAATATAATATTAAAACACCTAGGTATGAGGTTCAGACGAAGTGCAAGACACAAATACTTTGGGTATAGGAGAAGATAATGAAGTACGAAGTGCAGACGAAGTGCAAGACACAAATACTAGGCGTACCATGTGAGGAAAAATAACAGAGTACGAGGTGTAGACGGAGTGCAAGACACGAGTACTCTGAAATGTTGTGGAAGAGAATAGATACGTTTAAAAAAGGAATGAACAAAGACTTTACTTTAAGGAGTAAGCCGGACAGTTACAACCGAGTATATTGATCACTTATAGTGATCAATTATAGCGATGAATGACACAAAGGACTGGAGTCGACTAACCAAGATGGTCAGGTCTTTTGGGTTTTTATAATAATTTGAACTATTGCCAAATTGGCAATAAATATTATTTGTTAATTCATCAGTCTCAGGAAGCGGATGTGCTGTCTGTATTTTATTAAAATAATTCTCACAATAATGGTAACGTGACACCATCACAATAGTAAATGGCATTTGAATTTTTAATATAACTTTATTAATTTATTAGATACAAACATTTAAAGTTTCAAATTTTTGAATTAATATACCTGTATAATACACAAATTATTACAAATACAGGTAGCTAATTGGTTTTTATGACTTCGATATTCGCTTATACGCAGCATTTATTATAGTTGTGAGTTTATAAATACACCAACTTTCAATACAGAAATCATATCAATTGGTAGTCATAATTGACAATAAACACTCTATGACTGTGATAGCGACGACATAAAAACCAATAGTATACAATGATTTGTAATCATTCGTGTATTATACAGGTATATTATTTCAAACATTTGAAACTTTAAATGTTTATATAAAATAAACGAATAAAGTTATATCAAAAATTCAAATGCCATTTACTATTAAATTAGAAATTCAAACATTTTATTAAATTCAAAATATATGTTCCCATTTAAAAAAAGAAAATTGACACCAGTAGTTGTATAAAGTATGAACTAGGACCCCTCCTAACACACATGGTATGGGTTTACCTTGCCATAGGTAGACGGGAGATGTAAACGGCCGCACAGTAGAATGAAACGCCGGTTTAGGCGGCCAAAAGTATCATTTTTCAAAAGTCACTTAATTTTTTTTTTTTAGCAAAACACATTAATATCATACTTAAGGGTTTTAATACAAATTTTCAAGGGCATAAGTTGATTTAGTGAAGGTGTAGAGCTATTTTAATTTTATACTTCTAAAATTTATCTGTATTTTCAGTAATTTTGAGTTTATTTTTGTACATTTTTTTTGCTTCGATGCGAAGCTGAGAAGGTATTGGTTTTACTATGATGTGTTTTTTTTTTTTTTTTTTTTTTTTTTTTTT